CAATAAAAAATTCATTTCTTTTTATTTTTTTTTAAATGAAAATTGTTTTAACTTTTTCATCCTTTCCTTTTAAGTAACGACTGATGCAAAAGTCTTGGCACAAATGTCGAGACATGTAGTATTTCAACAGAAAGCGCTAGAGATCTAATTCTTTCACCATTAGATAGACCAAAGTGTGTGCTTTCAAACCCACTTTTTTCAAAAAGTTTTTGATGAAGTTAAGGTTTTCAAATTTCAAATTTTCAAAAACCACTAAAAACGGTTTGTAACTTTTGATCCTTTTTCGCGCTTTTTTTTAAATTTAAAACAACAGTATTCGTGTCGAATTAATAGATAATGAGCTGAAACTTTCAGGGAATCAAGTCTGAAGTGTAGGCTTTTTCAAAATCTCACTCCGAAATTTGTGCGTATCCATGGTAATCCGCAATCAGGCTTTTAAGCGAAAGCACGGCAGTGTTGGGTTTTTGGTGCGCAATTTAGGTATTTTTAGGAAGACAAAAATTTTTAATTAGTCCAAAAGATGCTGTTTTTCAAGACCTTTCAGAATCCGTATGAAAAACTGGGAATAGGCGTTTTCATCTCCTGAAAATCAGCTAAACACTACTAATGAACAAAATAGTGCTTTGGCGCCAATTTCGTCATAATTAAATCCACTTATAACTCAGCCAGACTATGTTTGATTGAACCAAGCTTTTTTTTTGAATCGTAGCTACGGAGCTACTAAATTTTTGTAGCACAGCGAAAAACTGTGAAACTTACATAAAGGTGTGTTATCGTAACATTTCCTAATTTCGCATGGTTACGAGTCGTTTTTAGTGGTTTTTCAAAAATTAAAATTTGAAAACCTTAACTTCATCAAAAGCTTTTTTTAAAAAGTGAGTTTGAAAGCAGACACTTTGGTCTATCTAACAGTGAAAGAATTAGATCTCTAGCGCTTTCTGTTAAAATACTACAGGTCTCGACATTTGTCCCAAGACTTTTGCATCAGTCGTTATATCTATTCAAATCTAGATTATCAAAGATTTTTAAACCTCGGGAAATCGCATTATATCCAAAATCATATGCGAAACTATGGCTGAAAAAAACAGGATTTTATGATTTTGTGATTAAATTCTACTTGTAGTTAGCTATAAAGCATGGCGACAGTTGTTAAATTACGTCCACTTGTCACTTGAAGATAACAGTGTGATGGACATTGAGATGACATGTTTGTAGATAATAACGATCTGACAAAGAAAATTTTAATCCTAATGTTTTACTTTTTTTGTTCTTCTTTATCACTCTGTCTGTTCTTCGCTCCAATCCAGTTACTTGCATTGCCGTTCCTTCTTCTTCCCATTCTGTTATTTCATAAACGACGGCATCAGACTGTCTGACAAATTAATTTTTCGTCTGCCACTACTTTTCTTTCTTTCTTTCTTTTCATCGGATGGTTGATATTTTATAAAGGAGAAAAAAGAGAAAGAAAAACCGTTTGCTATATTCTATATTATAGTTTCCAACATACTCCATTCTTATATTTTATTTTACGGTAACTATTTTTCTTTCTTTTTTCATCATAAAAAACTCTCTAGACATAACATCAACAGAAAAAACATAACTTAATTAGGATAGGAGAAGGTCGTTTCACATTGTTCAAATTAAACATGGGTTTATCCACTAATCGCATTGTTAACAATCAGTCTTCTCCTCTCGAGCATCTGTTTTGCTCGATATGCCATGAAATTCTGTGGCATCCTGTTACATGTGGAACTTGTGAGCATAGCTTTTGTGAAGCATGTCTCAATCAATGGTTTCAACGTCAACAACGATGCCCTAATACTTGTGAATACCATCAAAGAACTCGTGTACCATATCTTCTTACACAATTATTATCACAATTAAAAGTTACCTGTAAGAATACAGCAAATGGATGTACTGAGATTATCCCATATGAAGCATTAGAAAAACATGAACAAGCGTGTGGTTATGAAATGAAGAAGTGTTCAGGTTGCTTGAAATCAATATTAAAACAAGATGCTGAACAACATGAACTACAGTGTGATTATGTGGAGATTTTGTGTATGTATTGTCAAGCAATGTATCGTCGACGAGATACACATAACACAATAGAATGTCTAAGAAATCAAATGAAAAATCAAAATGATCGATTTGAACTAAAACTAACATCGTTAGAGAATGATCTTAAACGCCAAACGGAGTTATTGAATAATATCGATCAACAACAGAAAGCTTTAATTGAACGATTAGATAGACAGGCAAGAGAAGCAGAAGGTAAGAAATGTATTAGATGAAACGACTGTAGAGTGAACAAGTTTTTGATAGCAACTCTTTTGTCATTTCTTTTAGAGAAAACAAAAAATATTATTCGATTCAACGACGCTCCTTTGCATCAATCTGATCCTTGTTTACCAAATAAAAAATTTTACGGTGATTTTCTTTGGTTTAATTGCCAGTTTATCACTATGTTAGATGCAGAAGGCCAACAATGTAAGAATGCTTTTAAATCCGGTCAACAGTGTGTGCTGTATTCTAATCTACGGCTCTGTTGTCACTCGTCTAACGGCTATGGCGGATACCAAGAAGATACAATATCAATTTCTGCTAGAAATAATGGTCAAACTTTCAATATAGAATCAATAGAAGCTCTCTCAATTGCAAATGACAATTCAACAGACACGCAAATAAATGGTATGAGAAATAAACAGATATGTTTTACTCGCGGGATCAAATTACATAATGAATTACAATTAATTACATTAAATTGGGCTAATATTGATCAACTGACAATTGCAGTTGGCCATCAATTTAAGTGCAACTTTGATTTTGCAATAAGTGAAATCGTTTTTAAACTACCGTAAATGGTTGATTGATTTATCTAACTAACAGTTTCAATTATTTCTCTTCTTTCTTTTGTAATCTGTTGTATCTTTCAATATGTACCAATAATAAAATTCTTTAAATAATCAGAAATTCTGTAAAAGATTTCTTACGAAGAAGGTATTCAAACTGTTTCCTCACCATTGTAGCTGTGACTTTGATCAGAAATTCACAGTGATTGATGAAATGATTTGGTATGTTAATTTCTCATCGATTTCTTCGTTTAGATGAGTTTTATAAGTCTGTTTATCGAAAAACTCGTCGCAGAGTTCAAGAATATTGAATATCGAATTTGTGTTCTTTGTAACCAGAAGATTTTGGAAGAAAGTTACAAAAACTTGAATTTTATGAAAACCAACGGCGTAAAATCGTGATTAATCGTATTTTATAAAAAAAAATCGATGATAAATCAGAACAATATAATAGCGTTTGATCACCAATTTCGAGAGTTCGCTAGTCGACGATCTTGACATCATTCTTTCCAGATTCTTGTTTTTCTTGATTGTCAGACAAGATTCTTTTGCCATTCTTTCTATACAAGAGTCTTGCCTGAAAAAATAGATCTTGACTTTCTGATAAGGTTCATGTACATACAATCTAGATTGGCGAGGCAAGAACTAGCTCTTCAGGCAAGATTCTTGTTTTATTGTCTGATTCTTGTCTTCTTGCAGTTCTTGCAAGATTCTTGTAATAAAAATAAATCTACTTAACATATCGATACAATAGTCTTCTTTTGTTATTGTTATATTTTTATTACAAGGTGCTGGGGTGTGGGTGTAGGTGTGTGTGGGTGTAGGTGTGTGTGGGTGGGTGGGTGTGGGTGTGGGTGGGTGGGTGTGGGTGGGTGGATGGGTGTGGGTGGGTGGGTGGATGGGTGTGGGTGGGTGGATGTGGATGTGGGTGGATGGGTGTGGGTTTCGAGAAAAAATATATTCATACCCACACCACTCCACACCCACTCGACACCCACACCCACACCTCACATCGACACCCACGCCATGCACCCACACCCACACACCCACATCCACACACCCACTCTCACCCACACCCGCACCCACACCATACAGGGCTCTAAGAAAGACATCAATAAAGAATGGAGTAAGAACGAAAAATATAGTGCCCGCTTTGGGTGTGGGATGTCGGAGTGGGTGTGGCGGTCGCTGTGGACGACTGGGTGAATGTAGATGTTTCTCTGTTACCCACATCCATTAGTATTGCTTACTGACTTTAATACAAAAGTTAACATTGTTTATTAATTTTAATCTGCGGACAAAGAGTATACAAACAAACGATTCAATGAAATAATTTGAGTTGATTAATTGGCTCGTGCGGATGATTCATAATCTACTCATTTCATGGTGACTCCGTTGAATTAATAATTGAGCTTTCGCTCTCCACTTTGCTACAATTTGTGTTTGAAGAATGTTGCGAGTTAAGAAACATATTGATATATTCCTTGTAACGTAGTTCAATGTCATTCAGCGTCAATCCATAATCGTTGAGCGTGTAAGAATTACGACCCTGTTTTCCTTGAGGATTATCGCGAAGCCATGCAACCATAGCTGTTTCAAACTCTTCTGACCATGCCAGACCATAGTAATCGTAAATGCGACGAATCGTATCGATCGGTTGTGCAAGTAGGTCATCGTATTTTATGTTTAAACAAGGAGTATGTTGATGATCACGTTGAAATTTAATAAGACGATGAATTCCAGTATCCATTAGATGTAGCACTCGCTTCACAATCGTCTGATTGTTAATTGCTGCATCAGCCTTGCTATTGTCGAAATAGAGTCCGACGTATGCAGTCGCTAAACGACACATTGATGGTAAGACATCGTCAAGTCGACGATGAGTTATAATGAGCTTGGCTGAAGGATAGTGATGCAGCAATTGATCAAGGTAGAAACTGTGAAATGGTGATTTAAATAGCCAATGAGAACTGGGTGCATCGACACTGTTCAACATTTGTATGAAAGTTTTGTGATATTCGTACATGAAGCTCTTGTTTGTATCATTTTCGAGCCAACTGAACACTTCATTATCTTCAGGAGTTGTGAGCATCGCATGAATCCAGCTACAGCCAGCTTGATAAAGAAGATATATATCTTCTTCAATTGCAAATAGAGGATGAGAAGCACGCATATCTCGTAGATAATCATTCAAACCAATAGAGGTGAACATCTCACGGAATCCCTGTAGAGCATTATTGCGTTGCATCTGTGCAGCAGTGTCAGAACGTGCAAGTGGTGGAATCGGCTGGACCATGTCTGCATAGAGTGGTGCTCGACATTCTGGATCACAAGCTAGCAAATTGTAAAGGAGTGTTGTGCCTGTGCGAGGCAAACCACATATCACGAGCGGATGTGGCAACGAATTTGCTTCCATTTTTAGTTCCGGATGAGAGGCAATATAATTAAGTACAAGCTTAGAATTCATGTAATTTTTTTCGAATGTTGTGCATAGGAGATGGCGCCCAATAGATGAAAGACGCTCGTTTGCAAGTATATGGTTTGCATAGAATTGATATGTACGCAAAATCTCACTGTAGAATTTGAACTGTTTCTTCGCTTCGTCACTAAAATCATCTTCAGAGAAAGTGACGGTTGTGCGAAAAGCCAAAGTATTCTCATTATTTTTCACATCTTCATGTAGCATCGGGCATTTCAATGTTTGTGCCATACGAAAAGAATGGTGTAATACCTTTCAAGAGTAAGATAATCATTGTATTACTTATACTTGAGTTTGAAGGTTTTTAATGCATGAAAGCAGGGCTTTTTACACTCAGAAATAGGGAATGATAGTTGTCTTTTAGTAGAAATCTCTAACAGCAGTCAACTTTCATAGTATCGAAAAATGCATGAAAACTTCTTTCCTGAAATTTCATGTATTTCTCAGCAGTCAAAATCTATTCGCATGGATTCCTATTTACAGGCTGTAATAAAATTATAGCTTCACTATGTTGTATACGAAAAAAACCTAATATTGTATTTTGAAAAGATATCCAGTTGTTTAATGCATATGTTCGTTATATACATGAATCCGTGTGGCACATAGACAAGTAATTGTTCTTAAATCTAGGCATCTATGTGCATGAAAAAAGTCTATAGAAAGAGAAAAATGCTGTCACATGATCATAGGTTTTCTCTTTCTATTCTTTTTCTTTTTCTTTTTCATCGTCAGTTTTGGTTGATTCGAATTCATTCATGTCCATTTATAATCGTTAAGGTTTACTTGATTTCTTGATGATAGGCATGATATTGGTATATGTTAACTTGAAATGTCTTGTCAATTGAGCATGCCGCGTCAATGTATTCGTCAGACTATTCATAAATGTGATCAATTTCATACGGTGACTGCGAAATCTGGTTCTAGACATTCACTAAAAGTAACAGATCATCAGAAACCCAGCAGTTAAGCTTCATCAACTTCGAAACGATACTTTTTTCATTGACTGATATTGTTCGATATGCTTATACCGACTTGAATCAAACAATCAGTTGCCAAGCGATTAGCCGTATTCTTCGAGATTTTTTTGTATAGTATCTTATATGATTAGAAGAAAATCTCTTATTAATCCCACATAAACACGTATTCGACTTCACTAGTGTTATGGACATTTGAATTGGTTAATAAAACATTGAGTTAATGTTATATTTTCAGATGAAAGTTGTTATGAAATATTAAACTGAAAACATTGAATCTATATGCGTCGATGTTGAAACCACCTGACTCGATTTGGACGAACTCAACAACAAGTGTACAAATGAGGAGGGATCGATGTTTGGTCCTATCTCACTATTCATGACCTAGGGACATTGATCATCTTTGACGGACGTCTTAATTTAGCTAAATACATCAATTTATTCAAAACCTATCTATCAATAGTATTTCAAAATGTTCCATGTCAATAATCTCAAGAAATTTTCTGTTGACAAGACGAGACACGTCTTCGTGTTTCATCAATGACGCAATAATACTTCAAGAGAAAACATCTCACAAAAGTTTCTTGGCCAGCAAATAGTTACAATTCAAACATTATCGAAAATATCTGGTCTACCGTTGATACTAAACTACAAGTAACCCTCGCTGCCACAACTCAATTGACCTTCGATTGAACTCGAGCCAATCATAATCTCTCGTTATTTACTGGATTCAGTCTTGCGAACTATCTTTTGAACACACAAGCTCATACCAAAAGTCCTTATATCTAATCCTTTTCTGTAATCAAAGATGCTGTTGTACTTTAACAAGTGAATGCTCGTCTAAATCTCATCGTAGTTACTTCATCGACGGTATTACTGATTATTTCACATAGCAACGCTCATATTCTTTCCATGTCCTACAATGTGTTATTGAATCTGACGCGAATATAAAAAAACGGCGAGTCCCAACCAATAATTTTTTCGTCATC